AACAAAGAATTGAACAAGACACACAGAGGAGACAGTGAAAGTGTAAATTTCCTGAAGGCTGAAAAGAAGTATGCTACTGAGACCAGGCTGGTACAAGTCTCACTGCTGCCCCAATGATAGGGGAAAGAGGTCTTTCATTTCTGGTCAAGAGTCCACGTCCCTCCCAGAGTGCTGTCCTGGATGTGTAGGACAGCTCATGCTGAATCATGCCCTCTGTGTTAACTGTGCAGATCCTCGGTTAGGACTGTAACCCTGAGATGCAACCCGTATGTATGTGTAGATACAGTAGGAGTAGTTTGTCAGGGTTTTTGCAGGTTATTTCAGATATCTTGGGGAGTTTCTGTGCCTGTGTTAGAGATTTTGCTAAAAACTGATTTTACTTCTTCGCCTGTGGCTATTGTTTGGAAGTTAGAGAGACAGGCCCCAGGACAGGGCAAAAACTCTTAAAAAATTGATGGAGAAGTAATCCTTAGACTGTGATCAGTGGGAAGGCATGCTCTGGCCTGTGCTAACTACTGTCTACATGGGTGGAATTTGGTCTGGTAGAGGTGGGAAGGGCCTAGAGACACATTTGTAGTTCTGCTTTGCCACTTGCCAATCTTGGGTGCTTGGAGACCTAGATATTAAGTCTTCTGGGCTTAAGTACTTTTGCTTAGTGCTTGTTTATCTCTAGAACAAAAGAATGTGGCCTGCAGCCTGAGGGTAGTGGCACTGGTCTCACCTTCATCATTTCCTTCATGTGTTACAGAATTTTAGTGAAATGAACAAAAAACATCTAACTCCCATTTTCCTGTATCAGTTGGAGGTGGTATATGGCTTGGTCAGCTACAGTCCAGTCCACTTCCCTCAGTTCCCTTTGCTCCCTTTCATCCCAGTGGACTGGGACAGTTTGTTTCAAGGCTCTCCCAGCTATTCATCCGTGTCCTCCTTGGCTGTCAAACTGCCACTGTCCATTCCACGGTTAAGTGAAGCCAGGCCGTATGGTGCCCTTCCCCCACTCCTCCACTTCAGACAATATCGCTGCTCTTTTGAAAAGAGGGCTCACCCTGGAGTGGCTAAGATCAGGAAGGGAGGGATTGGGACTCTTATTTGCATACCCAACACTCATAGCAAGCTTTTAGGACTGCCCCTCACTGAAACAGGTCTATAGCAATCCTCAGCCACTTCTTGGGTTTTAGTCTTAGGAGGCCTCCTGGGTCCTGACCCTTGTGCTGCAGCACAGGCCCTGCTAAAATAAAGACTTGCTTTGGTGTTCCTGTGAACCTACTTGTGATTTATTTCTTGGGTAGTGTGGGCTCCAATGGTCCAGTATATCTATATGGTTTTTTTTTTTTAAGACTTAGTACTACAGCAATAGTAATTGTTTCTAAAGAAAGACAAATAAACACTCAGATCTGTTAATACTAAAGAGCTCCAGAGACCATCAGCCAATGAACACCAGCAGCAGAGACCAGCACCCAAGACAGTTCACCTATGGTGTCCAGCACAAGTTGGCATTGGATGGTGATAGCCAGCAGCAGTGACCAAAAACTGGCTATGTCAAGCATTGACACCCTGCATTACCTGGTGAGGTTAAGGACTGCTATCAGAGCTTCATTTTGCCAACTCACAGTTTTTATCTGAATCAAGCAAGAGGAAGGCAGTTGTTGGCTATCCAGGGCTTGAGCACATAGATTTATTCTCACCGCAGCCTGGAAGTTAACCCTGAAGGCTGAGAAGAAGTATGCTACTGAGACCAGGCTGGTACAATTCTCACTGCTGCCCCAAGGATAGGGGAAAGAAACATTCCCATCTCACAAACATTCAAGAAAGGCTGTGAATCCATAGCAGACTCAGGTGGCCTGACTCCAGGACTTCCCTGCTTAATCTCACAGAATGTCCTTTCTATTAGTTATTATTCACTTTACAGTCCTAAAAGAAGCTCAAGGAGGGGCAATGACTGATGGTTTTGGTTTCTGAAAATTGGCTAGGAGATGCTAGAGCACTATAAAATGGACCCCATCTGAGTGCTTACATGCTGGAAGGGAGAGGAGAAGAATGTGGACTCATCCCAGAGAGCTACCACACCTTCAGTTGTCATGAGGGTCTGGCTTCTACAACACTGGCTAATGACCTTGTCTATCCAAGCCCTCTGGGTTCTGGGTACTAGATCAGAAAAGATCAAAGGGGCCCATAGACCAAGGAGTCCCAGCCTTTCTCCAAGCCAAGCTTTCATGGTCAGGAAGGATCCTGACTTTGAACTAGCCCTGTCCTTCAAACACCATGGCCAGGTCCCCATCTTGGCTATAGAAAAACACCACTTCAGGCTGTCCATGCTAAACCACTGGTTCCAGCATAAGAGAAAGGCTGCTGAGGACTCCTGGGCAAGTAGCAGGAGCATTCACTCTAAGTTCTTCTTGGTACCTGCCCATCCTTGGTAGATCTGCAGGCATCCATCCTCCAAGAGCCTGAGTGGGTGGAGGGGCCTAACATGTATACCTGCAGCTCTACTGTAATGTCTGAGAGAGCAGAGGGTGTGTAGCCATGAGAGACTGGCTGTAGCATCATGCTTTAGACCCCATGAAGCACCATATCCAAAGGGACAATGCTTCATCTAACCCTTCATCTTGGTTGAGATAATCAAATAAAAATCTAATGACAATGGCAAAGCACACCTGAAAGTTACTTCCTGTCTCCCAGAGTTCTTCACCTGAGTTTACTCACCCTGATGAGTTGCTCATCAGGGTACAGCAATCTTTTGATGTTAGTGTAAAGGGTTGATTTCTCTGAAGGTTATATGTATTTGTAAAATTGATGAATATGATATTTTACATAATTTTGGAAACATGAATGAATCTTGTAACCTATCTCACCCTAAGACCAGATGTATTAATTAAGGGGCATATCATGACTCCAGGAACACTCTGATTCTATGATATAGTTCAGATATCTTCAAAGTAGTGTTTCAAGTGTATGTATTCCAGAAATATAAGAAAACTCACATTTACTAAGTAGTTTTAAAATAGCAAACTACTATGCAAGAGCATTTTGTCTTCCAAAAAATAGGTCCTTCTGACAGTGGTATGGGTGGTCACTAAACAACCCATCTTGTGGCCGGAACAAGGATCCATGTTGTATCCTTCAACATTGTCTGTGCTTATAAGCAGTACACAGGTCGAGTCCTTCCTTAACGAGATGCCTGCTGAGCGCAAATGTACAATTCCATTACCTTCTACTTATAATGGAGTAAGGAAGCCATTTTCTCATATCCCAGATTGTGAAGCAGAATTCCATTGACCTGATTTCACATGTATTAAATGGTTCCTTAAAGGTCACCTGTGATATAAAGATTAAGAAGCTGTGTCTCCTCAGAAAACCAAGCCCTGCCCAGATGCTGAGATAAGTAAGTGCTGTGCTCTTTCCGTTACACAATGTCACTGACACTGACATGTCAGTGCCTGTCTAGCAGTTGTTGGCAGGGATTTGTCACCTGCCTCTATTTGCTCTTCATGACCCAACATCATGACCGTAAATATTTCTAGATGTTAAGAATTGAGACATTTTCACTGTTGATGATCTGATTTCCAAAATATGTTCCAAGTTTTAGAATAAAGTAATAGAGTAACTTAAAATTGGTACTACTGTGGGTGGGGCATGGGGGGACGAGAGAACAAGCAGACCATTCAAAGAATGAGTATAATTGTGTAATAAAGAACTTCTCTTAAATGGAATCGAGTGATTGCTCATGGTATCTGTATTGACCGCTCTATAGCAAACTCCATGAGAGCAAATACTCAGATTCTCACCATGCTGGCTGTGCCACAGGTACCAGTGCAGGTTTCTAAATCAGATTGTTAAAAAATAATAAGGAAGAGCGTCATCCGACTTCGACATCTTCCTAAACAATATGTTCTTTACCGAAAGACTGCTCCTTTACACTTTGTAAAAAAAAAAAGTTCTGGTCCTTTTAGGTCTTGTTCTACCAAGACAGGAAAAGTGACCATTTTATAACACTTTCAGTGTTCAACTGAGCCAACTTGTGGAGTAGTCAAGCTCAAAATATTTTCAGATCAATTTTCTGGGAAAATGTCTTACTGGGAAAGTAGGTGGAATTAACTTTGGTGCCTTTTCTATTTTCCTAGTTGTCCAACTGTCTTCTTAAGAAACAGAACCAGTTTCATGGCACCTCCTCTTGGAGGGCTTTCCGATGTCCAAGTTTCACATGTGGCCTGATCTCCACTCAGAGAGTACATGCCTGCAAGGCATGCTGCTTGACCCGTGTCTTCCTCAGATTCTGGCTGACCCGGAGTCTGCTGATGCGTGACGTGCTCCCATGTGACCAGCTACACCTAGGTCTGCAGTAACTATGCCGAGGGTTGGCTGCTGGAGTGGTTGCTAGAACTTGTTAAAATATTTCATTTCCATTTTGACTCATTTTGCCACAATCCTGTGAAACTGAAAATAATGCTTATGTCCTGCTTAACAAACAGATCATAGAGCTATACTTTCTATTTTTCCTGCTCTCACATTTAATGTCTTCCCACCAAAAACTTCGCTATAGATAGAACCTCAAAACTGAGTTTGAGGATTACATATCAGTCTACTACTCACCATTGGGTTTGAATTATACAACAGCAACTGAGGCTCCAGAAAAAAAACAAAAAAAAAAAAAACAGGCTATTTTTTCCCACGTGTCTCCTTTTGGGTCCAACTCCTGGTCCTGGGAAGAAAAGTACTAAATCTTTCTGTACCTAGGAGTCTTCATCATAAGGTTGAATAAAAATACTTGACTTTGAAGGTATCAATATGTAATACAACAAGCACTGTTAATTTCCTACCACTTTGTTTGTAACTCTGTATTGTCTGTACTGTTCTTTTACTACTTTGTAAAAGGTTGTCTGTCTGTTCATGTTTTCCTCCTTTTATTTTTAAAATAAATTTTAAAAAAAAGTACTTGGTCCCTCCTGAGGATTATGAGGTCATAGGTGCTGAAGTGCTTTGAGCTCATCAAAGAAAAGGAGTGAATTGCAAACCTTTATTATTTCAGATGAGACCAGGTTGGAGAGATCGCCAGGCTCATCATCATTCTACTACTTTGAACACTACCTAGACAGACAACACTTTTTCCACTCATCTCCCCCACTCTTGTGGGGAAACACCAAGGGGACAATACCCATGAGCAACACAGTGTCATGGGATATAAAAGCTACCACAAATGACAGTCACTTTACCACTGATGGTCATAGAAGTCAACAAGTTCCTGCTTGAGGAGCTGATGTGAAATGGAACAGACACAATGACAAAAGGACATAAAATGAAGCTCAGAATAAAATTCCATCCCTGGGAGCATATTCCACTGGCTTTCTCTCCTCCTGCTTCTGCTGGTATCTGGCTTTCTGGTAGAAAAAGATGATGATCACAGTGACTATGTTTAGAAGAATGATGAGTAGTAGGAGCCAAAATGAGTATCCGTAACTGTGGGTCGTTCTGCTGATTGTGATTGTTGGATAAAGCTTCAGGGACAATTCTTGAGAAAGTCGGTTGGACTGCGTGTTCCCCACAAATAGTACCATTGTCAGGAAAGTGGAGAATGCTGAAAAGAAGATTAAATTTCATAAATGACACAGAGATACGTTTTTATTATCACTTGTCTTCTTTATGGCGCCTGTACTTTGTGGATACTTATTGCCTATCTACACTACAGTTTATCTTTCAAGCACTGGAAAGGATATAAAGACAAGGTAAAACATAAAGTGGATTGAAAGCATGGAACACTGTGCATGGCAGTGTCTGACCAGGAACAAACCTCCAGGATTAAACTCCTTCTGAAACAGTTACTGAGCAAGTGGTCTATCAACTATCTCCTTTCCTAGGGCAATGCATGTAGTTAGTGTGCTGAATGAAGGAGCAAATGGATGAAGGGATAGGAGAGTCAGCAGGGCAAGTATCTAGAGAGGCCGGGATGGCTGAAGAAGACCCAGAAAGGCAGAGGAAGACCAGCGGCACCAAAGACAGAGGAAGCAGCCTCAACAAAGACATGAGTGGGCAGTGAGCCAGCTGCCCCTTGGACTGAGAGAGGAGCCTAGTCAATAGGGAGAGGTTCTCAGGGTCCTGAGCACTGGATATGGACAGAGGCCCACCCTGCAGAGCAGGGAATGCTGGCTTAGGAGTTTGAATTTCATTCTACATGACTCTTTGGAGTATGGGAAAGGAGCTGCAAAAAAGGCAGATTCGTGGTTGTTTAGGGCAGAAGGTAGACTGGGAAGCAGGTGATAGCTAAAGGACATGGGCTTTCTTTTTGAGTTGGTGAAAATATTCTAAAATTGACTCATGATGTTTGCACATGTCTAAAATGCTGAAAAACCATTGACTATTGTTCCTTCCTTGGGTAGATTCTACAGCACGTGACCCGTAGCTCAAAAAAAAGTTGTTATTAAAGAGGGTTAGAGGGGAGGATGGGAAGGGGGATGCTCAGGTCTTGTAATAAGTGAGGTGAGCCCTGGGGCCCAGGCAGAGTCAGACAGACCATAAGTGAACTCAGGGGAATCCCCAGGACAGACGTGCTTCAGGGTTCATCTGCTGACACATACAGGATGTGCTGAGCTCAATGGACATTCTGGCGTCAAACCTGCCTTGGCTGTAACCCACATGCAGGGAAATTCTCCAAACGGTCCTCCGAGAGGCCCTAATTAGAGGGATTTTGTATGAGAAGAAGGTCTTAACAGTCCTTGATGTCAGATTTCATTCTCAAAATAATGGTTTTATTTCTTAATAATTTGTATGAACAAAAGCCCTGCTCCTCTGATCCTCTCCAGGCACTACATACGCCTTAATTATCCTCCATTTACCTCTTGTGAAGTTTCTTATAAAAGCTTAATCATAAAGGGGCAGGATGAACACAGGGTTAAATGCGTTTTTCTAAAGTGGGCTGCTTAGAGCTTTGATTTGCACTGGAAGGGGCCAGCACCTAGATGCAGTGCTGACCTGAGAGCCCTTTGGGGACAGGATGCCAGGATCCTGCCTTAGGCTCCACACTGCTTCCAGTTGGCCAACTTCTTCAGATCTATGGTACAGAAGGGTTTGTGAGGGACTAAAGAGGCTCTAGGGTAGATGAAGGGTTCTTAAAGCCTCGAGACAGTGGCTTCAGCCCTAGCCTGTCACTCCTGGACCATGTCACTTACTTCATTGCTTCCTGAGTTCCTGAGCTAAGACACAGATGTGTTAAGAGCAGATAGTCTGTGAAATTCTGCAGTGATATGCCCTGCAGCAATGACCAGGCTGCACCAGACCAGTATAGTGCAGAGGTGGGGGAAAGGGCCTGAGGCCCTGAGACTGGAAGGTGGCATTGTTGCTTTTCTACAACCCACACAAGCCAAGAAACCACTTCCTTTGCTACCCTCTTGGACCCCACCCACCCTTGCCAGCTCAGGAGAATAGGCGCAAAGCCAGCCCACAGAGGTTGGCATGATTCCTTCCAGGCAGAAATTAGCTGGACATAGGCTTACCAGTCACAGTGCTGCCCCAAGGCTAGGATGCTGGGATGGCAGCTCTGCATACAAGCCATTCTGGACCCACAAACTTATAATTTTCACTAAATTCTGCAACACTTAAAGTGAGAGAAGAAAATCAGGAGTTCCCAGAGAGCAAAGCCTGGCTTGCAAAGAACTGGGACCCAAGGAATCACACAGCGCACTTAGAAAAAGCCATGGCTGCCAAAACCTCCCCCTAAGCTCCTCTTAAGAGTGCAAATATTACACAGAAATCTCAGATGCTTCCAGCCCCTGCCTATCTGTTAGAACTTGCCCCTGGGAGTATTATGTGTGTGTGTGTGTATGCAGGAGGTGGGTATTCCCTCCCCACCACACAATTCTTTGTGGTTGAAATAGGAAGGGCTGGGGAGAAGGCTGCCCATTCTCTTTGTTCATGTTTTCCTCCACGGACTGCATGAGACCTCTGACCTGTGCAAAATCAGCCTATACTTAGCTGTGGCAGGAGATGTGGAGCTTGAGGGAAACAGGCTGTGAGCCCTACAGACTGCACATGTAGAAGTGACAGCCCACAGCAGGCCTCCACCCTGACACTGGCTCCTGCTTCCCCTCTGAGCACTGACTCTTCTTCCACCACACCCCTGAGCCGAAGAAAGGTCTGCGCAGCCCAAGCTCCAAGGTGGGCAGGTGTCCTCAGCTAATTGGTAGACTGATAGTTCAATGAACTCTTCTGGCTAATGAGATTGGTCAAACCATAGAAGAGAACAATTCTGTCTGCCTAAGGAGGCTCTCTTAATTGCTGGGAAATAATAGATCTTTCCTCCTGGAGCTGCCCAGAGCTTAGAACCCTTCAGAGGATGGAACCAGCTGCAAAATAATGGAGCAAATAATGGGGAAGATCAAGAGATAGAGAGATGAGGGCAAGAGTTCTGAGTACACGAGCCAAGACCTTGAATCCAGCCATGCCTGAAGTATCTTCTCTTAGATTCTTAGTTGCATGAGCAAAAACAAAAATAATCTACTTTTTACCCTGGCAATGGGTGCCAATAGGTTTGTCTTTGGTTTAGATGCCTGAGGTGAAGTATAATCATGGCAGTAGCCTGAGGCGAGGAATCATGGTTTTGGGTGAGTATATTTGCTTTGTAGCTAAATCCCTTAACCTTGGCACTCACGCTGTTAAATGACAGGAGACAGTAGTGTCCATTACAGCTTGCACATCTCAACTCTGCATTCAGTAACACTATTGCTCTTTAGAAGTGCGGTATGCTTAGACCGTGCAAACAAACCAATACTACAGCCAGCCCCTCTCTTTTTTCTCTACTCTCCAGGCAAGTAGTAAAAATGATCTTCCATGCAGGCACAAGAGGAAGCTGTCCACAGCTGCTCCTTCAAGACTTTTTGACACCTCAGTATCCAGAGCATCTTCCCTGTGTTAAAATGCATCATGGGAATTCACATGAAGCTTACTCTGGAACCATACCCTTAGTAGGTCAGGGCTCTGTTTCCTAGATCAAGTTATGATGAAGGACAGAGTGGAGAAATGTGGCTGCCTGGCAAGGGCAAGACACTGAAGGCAGAAGGGATGGTGCAAAGGATCTCTTTACTGGTCCTGATCCAGCTTCTGGGCAAACGTATTAGCCACAGAGCCATGGCAAGACCCAGTGAGAATCCAAGCTACTACGATAGAGCTAGGATCTACTTCTCACTGAGGTTCTATCCTCTACTCCAACACCCGCCCATGAAACAAAACCACCTAGCAGGACCACACAACAGCATCCTGGGTCCCACATAGCCCACAAGAAGGGTGTTGGCTCAGAGTCTCCTACATGACATTATGTGTGGTTCTTTCACAAACCATGCAACTCTAACACCCAAGTCGGCTTCCGTTTTATGAAGGCAGGAAAGAGGGTAAATAAGTGTGTATGTGTGCACGCATGAATGTGCTTCTGTACATCATGTAGAGCCTAGTTTTGGAATAAGCACACAGCAAGAGTCCAGCAGGTGTTTTGCTGGTTCACATAGTGTTTTTTTTTTTTACTCTTTATATCAGGTCCTCAGAAGCAAAGACTGATTTATCTATTTTAACACTCCTCATCACCCGACTTCTTACCTATCACCAGTGCACTTAAAACACCTGTTTCAAGACACACTTAATAAATGCTACAGACCCACCAAAATAAACCTCAGTCTCCAATACAGGACCCAGCACATGGTAGGTCCTTATCATTTTCCATGGTGGGACATGAGTGTATGTGTTCATGTGTATGAGTGAGAGGCAGAGAGATGGAGAGAAAAAGGATGTGGTTCTCTGCGGAGCGCATACCTCTCAGGGATACTCACCGCTGATTCCATTCCAGGTGTACACACCCACTGGGCCCAGGAACGTCTGGTAGGGGTTGCTGATGCTGTTGTAGAAGGTAAACCCTGAACTCAGCAGTGAAGTGAGCAAGCCGAGCACCAGGAACAGGACAGTCACCAATTGCAGAGATCTGGGGGAAGAATTGTTCAATATCCCTAAAACTAAAACAAGTTTTGGTGAGTACAGAGCAAAAAAATGCAAACGTCACCTCCAGTCTGGCTTCTCATATTCTCTCACTTTAGATACTGGGATTAGCAGCTGTCATATGTCAGTGACAAATGCTACGCATCTCTGAGACCTGACAGAGCAAGACCCCATTCCTACTCTGGGCTAGTCATTGACTCTGTGATTGATCAAGAACAAGCACAGTAAAGCAATGGCTGGATGCTTATCTCAGTTTTAAAGACAACCCCCATGCCCCAGCAAAGAGTCCTCAATACCTGCAACTTCCCTACTAGTGAGTTCTGGCCTCAGTGCTTACCAATGGGATTCTGGCAATTTCATCATGGCAGCATCCTTTTGTCTCTGAACTCTAACTCTGCTTCCTTTTGGAGACACTTAAAGGGTTTGTTATACTGTGTCCTCAGTAAGGATCCCATAAGCCCTGTGACTTTGGAGGGAATCTAGTAAACCAGGCAAGGTCATCCAAGAGAACACAAGAAGAGGACAGGCAAATGGGGGATAACCAATGGGGTGGGAGCCTCAGGCTAGTAGTGGGGATAGGAAAATGACTCTTACTGATACAAACCAAGGTGTTTGTTGGTCCAGATCCCATTTCCCTGGGGATAAAGAAAACCCAAAGTCCCTGGAACTTTAACACTGCAGGTAGTTGGGAATTGGGCCCCTGGATGAGCCTTCAGACTCCTTTCCAAGCTAACAGCATTTAATAATGATTGCATATTTCTTGCTTGCAAAGGAGCTCCAGACATGTATCCACAGTGAAGTTAAATACAACAAAGGAGCCCTGGGCCATGAGCCATCAGTTCTTCATGGCTTCTGATCACCAGCAGCCCTCCTGTCTGGCATTTGTCTCCTCGAGCTGCTTTTTTGCCATAATACAAATGATCCTCAGGGCTGGGGATTTAGCTCAGCCGCACATTGTCTGTGCGGCGTAAGGTTGTGAGTAAGCATAAGATAAGCGTAAGGTAAGCGTAAGGCAGTGAGTTTGATTCCCGGTAAAAAAAAAAAAAAAAAAAAAACAAATGATCCTCATCAGGTGGACCCAGCCACACATTTGTAAAGCATCACTGGGATGCTGTCATCATGTGTTCCCTGAAGTTCACTCTTCCCCCCACATTAAGTAAAATGTTTACAGAGATGGTTTATGAAGTTACAGGGAAGCCAGGCATGGTGGTGCATGCCTGTGATCTCAGCATTTGGGAGGCTGAGGCAGGAGGGTAGTTGCGAGTTCGAGACCAGCCTGGGCTACAAAGTGAGCCAGGGCTACAAAGTGAGCCTGAACTGCAGAGCGAGACCCTATCTCAAAAAAAAAAAAAAAAGAAGTTACAGGGAAAAAATAGTGTAGGAGAGATATTTTGGAATTGACAGTAATATAAACTAAGAAAACAATGGAAATTAAGAAGTGTAAGCCAGAGAGGGCTGAGTAAGAACTAGTCACAGGCTTTTTTCTACTTCCTGTTTCTCAGGTCTCCAGAGAGAGAATCTTGGAGACTCTCACATTTTTAGCCCAAAGCAGCTTTAAAGAACAGAAACCAGCCAGCCCAGGTTTCTCGATTCCATAGCTTTGTGTACTGTGAGCTCCCACGGAAGGGCCACCCAGTCTCCTTCTGTAAGATGTACTTGCTTCAAGCTCCCTTTCTCAACAAGGCAGCCCATTCCTCCCCACAGCGCCTTCATTTTCATTTTCATAAGGTTCTTCATCATGTCGAGCCCAAATATAAATCCCCATGACTTTACCCAGGGCCCCTGCTTTGCCCTGTGGAATGATACAAAAGTCACTGGCTCCTGTCTTGCCCAGCAGCCTTTCCAAGTATTTGAGGAGGGATGTACTCCCATCAAAGGCCACTTCTCAGGAATAGTCTGCTTCTGAAGATTTCAAAGCTGCTGCCAGCCCTCCTCATTCCCATCCCTGCCAACATTTGAGCCTGACTCTGGCTCACAGTGTGCTGCTCACTGGCGACAGAGACAGGACCCTAACAGCGTCAGGCACAAATCCTGTAGAGGAACATAACCCCACTCCACTTTGGATATCTTAATTCTGTCTTTCTTTTTCTTTTTAATCAGTAGTGCTCTGTGAGACAAAGTTTCCTTCCTTCCCCTAGACAGAGTGGGCATCAAAGTCCACAACAGGGTATCTGAAACATGTCCCCAGGGGATGGTGGAAAATGGGGTCTCGCTGGGAGAGAAAAGGCTTCCAAAGGGTCTCCTGGCTGAGCCCAGAGCAAGAAGCCTCCCTAGAAGGGCAGTGGGAAAATCCCTAGAAGCAGCAGTGGTTGGTCATGCTTGGCACCAGCTAAAAGAAGGCAAGGGATGTAGGGATGAGAAAATGTTAGAAAGAAAAACAGGAAAGGGAAAAGGGTGAGGGAACATGAATGCTGTACATGGCAGGCATAGCCACCCATCCCTTGTAAGCCCAGGGAAACAAAGAAGCAGACATAAGTAGGGAAATAATCCTCCGAGCAGCATGTGGGCAATGACTTCATCCCCCTGGCCAGAGAACACTTCATTCCTCGAATGACACTGGGAGCAGAGTTCAATTAGCACAGGTACAGCCTACTTGTCCTTATCTTAATGATGTTTTGGACTGGTTCTCAGTTCTTATTAATGATCCACAGAGCATGGTTAGACCCTCAGCATTCTCCTCTCTGCCCTACATCCCAGACAAAGACACTAAATAGTGTGGGCTAACTAAAAACACAGTCATGATGGCCACCAAGTTGCCAGCAGAGGTGGCTGGGGTCTGATGGGACTGGCCTTTTAAGGGGTGGGGCCTCCCTTGGCCCTACCTCTGGCCAGGTCTCTTGCTCTTTCTCCCACTCTCAGTGGAGATGTGGTTAGGGAATTTACATTGCTCTAATTTAGCACATGTTTGCTTTGAAACCGGAGGAAGGTGAAATCAAAGGAAGACTGCGAAAAAGTAATCACCAGAAGGACACACCTGGTCAGAGGCATACGCTGGACCCTGAGAATATTTCAGTGCTTAGTCACTGTGAATCAGAATCATTTCCCCCTCAGCACAAACCAGCCTCTCTCCAGGGGACGCTCTGGGACAAAGTGAACTCTTTTCCTGAAAAAGCTTGGGAGCCAAAGAAACAATTTGGATATTTAACTAGAAAACAAAAACATGAATGTGGGAAACATATCCTATATCCGACACATATGAAGGACCCTGAAGTATTTTTCTAATTTTCACAATTACTAAAACTGTAAATGGATATTTACTGGTGAAAGGTTAACATTCCACATTTTCAGAGTTCATTGGAAAGTGAAAATAAGACTTCACTTTGTCTTTGACTTTCAGCAAGACCTACTAGGTGGGATTTTCAAAAGAGAGTCAATTTGGAGCGTGATGACTCATACTTTCCCATATATTAAGGTGACAATTCATCTTAATTATAACTGCGGCATTGTAAAACTACTTTTCAGCATTCTGAATTTCCTGCCTCCTAGGTATGACAGCTGTATCTCCCCTCTAGCTCCTGCCTCAGAACTCAGACAATGAAAGCTGAAAATTCGATAAAAGTTAGCAAGAATGAAATAATAAACCTCCATAGCATCTGACAGCTGCTCTCTGCCTATGAAATTAGCAAATACATGCCATTCTTTTCTTTCTTTTAGGGGGCAAGCATCTGAATCAGGAAAGCCACCTCACAACTGGGACTAATTGCGCTGATTCTGGCAGCCCCCGGAAAAGGGCCAAGAACATACGGCCACGGAGATGAATGTCATGCCAGCAGACCCTGCAGCTGGGAGGCAGAACTGTGCTGCCAGGAGGTGGAGAAAGTACAAAACTCAGTGACATCCGGCCATCTGAGCTCTCCCTGAAGAGAGGTTTAACCCCCTCCGGCCCCACTTGCCATCTACCCTTCAAGTTCAGGTTTTCCATAAGACCTCTGACATTGAGGAAGTGCCCATAGCTTCCCAGGTGGGTGGAAACTGCCGGGGACCCTGGCCAGGTGAAGCTCCAGGATTTGGAGAGGCTCACACCACTGGAGAGGTGCACGACAGGAACATATCTTAGAGGATGGCACTAGAGTCTAGGTCTTGATGCTCCTAGGAATTTGCAGTGGGTGCCCTAGCCTCCTGGACAGTTGCGAAGCTATCTTGGGAGAAGAGTGGCTGAGCCCTACAGGGCACCTATTTTGCCTCCCTATCTCTACCTTCCAGTGTGGGCACATCTCTGGGGGCAAAAGATAGCTGACTTCTTGCCAGGAAAAGTCTTTTTATGTGGGGTTGGAAGTACAGTACTGGGTAGGAAGAATAAGGATCAGGCTCTTCATACATTCTGGACAAATCAACTTCATTTGGTCTCCTCTTTGCAATTAATTAGTTTTGGGAGCAGATTTATTTTCCTCGTTATTTTTAGCTTGGTCTAATACTGCAGTGCTGTTCCCTGGGAACAAATATGGGTGTGTGGAGACTGGAGGCAAGGGGCTACCCGGGGGTGAAGCTCTCCTATAGCTGTGGTTGTTTTTTGACTCAAATGCAACACTCAGAGGCCAGTAGGTCCTGAGCCTTTTTCCCAGCCAGCCTTGGTTTATCCCCAAGGATGTATTCAGAGGTGTCTCCAATAGATTAATTTAACTTCAAGCAGCCCACTTGCGAGGGGCTTAAAAACAGCAACACATGTGTCAAGCCTGCACAACATGTGTCAGTCCTGCACCTAGCCAAGCCTGAGTTAGAATCCCTCTGTCTTACAATCACCTGGGAAGTTTTTTATACCAACTAGGTCAGGGTCTCACTCCCTGAGATTCTTATTAAATTGAATCATACATTCATACTTAATTGGAAGGTCAATTGCAGAAATTCTTTGCCAGCATCCAAGTGATCAGAGAATAGCCACTGTAGCAATGTGATTGCTCAAAGTGCTCACCTACCTACCAACCAAAGTGTTCTTGGGACCAAGAATAAAGATACCCAGTGCCATGTGAATAGAAATATTTTTCATTGGAAACTTTTCCTGTTAAAATGATTCCATAAAACTATATATTCTGAACAATATTTGGGCTGAGTAATATTTGAAATTACATTCACAAGAACTCCACATCCTACATGACCCCATTTTGCTATTATTGCCAGTGTTACATATTATAAATGTTACATATTATACTCTTTGAGCCCTGAAGATATTTTCAAAAAACAAGGTCAAAGGAATGACTTTAAGGATTCTGTTGGATGCATCCAAGGTCCCAAACCAAAGAGGAAGTGAACCATCATAAGTGTGAGTCCTCCTATGTATGTCTTTTCAGAATTCTATACCCCAAGGACTCTGCAGAACCCTGTTCCCACTGGAGCCCTTGCTTTTGTGGAGACTTGCATGTACCATTTCCCTTACATATAGGGCCGGTGTTGAACTTAACTGCTGGAGCATCTTTCTTTTGCCCTAAGTGCTAAGACCAAGACCAGGAAATGTATGCAAATCCTGTCGTTAGTTATTTTTCTCCTTACCAAGACAAAATACCCTGATATCCACAGTTAAAGGAGGAAGGCTGGGAATGTAGCTGAACAGTATAGTGCCTGCCTGGCAAGTGCAAGGTCCTGAGTTTGATTCCTGGTACCAAAAAAAAGGAGGAAAGGTTTATTTTGGCTCACAGTTTATAGCAATTTCAGTTCATAGTTGGCTGGCTCTAACGCAGGGTGGCATGACAGTTGGGCTTTGTAGAGGAGAAACAGATCATGTTATATAGAAGGCAGCAAAGTGACAAAGTATTGAAGAAGCAACAAGTGACAAGGGACAACCGCAAGGACAGCAATGCTTTTTCTGTCTTAGGGCAGGTGGCACTCATATCTAGGGTGGAACATCCTTAATCTTAGCATCACACAATAGATCAATCTAAGCATCACATCCTTAAGTCCAGTATCACACATTCTAGGTTCAGCCACCTCCAAAACCTTCCACCTATGACCACAAGAGGGTTTGGAAAGAACATCTAGACACAAGCCACAGCAATATCCTAGTGCCTTACTCGTGAGCAGCTATGATGGAGACCACTATGAAGCAGCTCTGAGCAGGATTTATATTAACCAATTGGCTTTCCATGTTTATTTGTGAGTCACTGTCCCTACTGAGGCCTGTAATGGTGGGTGAAGCTGTGAGGCCTCAAAGAACAAGATAAAGCCACAGCTGAGGACTTTTGGCTCCAACCCCAGTTAATTAAAAGGAGACTGCAGCTGCAGGCATCTCACTCCTGCAGTGAAGGCCTTCCTGAGTTAACCTAGTTCTTCTAAATTAACTTAAGTATTACTTGGAGAATTCTGTAAAGAGTTTCCCAAGTCCTGAAGAGATTCCTTCATTTTCTTCAGTATTCCCCTCCTTTATTTGAAAACCTAATAAAAACAGGCAGCCCAGGGAAGTCTGGGTTTTAACCTAGAGAATCTAAAATATTGTAAGAGAGTTAGACCCTCCTGGAGATCTGAAATTATTTCATTTGTCTCATTTATTTAAGCCTTTACCATCCACTTGTTTGGGAGATTGCAGGCCTGATCAGCCTGCAAAAACTAAGAATTATTAACTCCATATAGCTACTCAGAGACATTTTTTGAACTAGAGTTAAATAACCAGACTTTCTGGAATAGCAAAGATAATCTGTTCATGGCTGGACATGTAGAATTTTTCACACCTTATCTGGATGTTGGGCAGAGTAGGACACACATAGCCAGCCAGAATTCCCCCAAGTAGTCCAGTTGCACAATGGAGTATTTCCTTACTGGGTCTGACCAATTATTTTCCCAGTCAATTGACCTATTGTTCATTGAATTATTTTGGCCCTTTACAATCAGGCATTGTCACCCATTCTTCTCTTTCATTTCAAAATCTAAAGCTAATATTAGCAAATGTGATGAATCCTATGCAGAAATAGAGCAGAATTTGGTGATACTCATTACTTTTTGAGGATTTTCAGTGTAATCTGGCTCTAGCAAAGAAGATAACTGATTAACTGATGATGATTCATAATCTAAAAGGTAGAGATTACATATTTGATAATAGTTGGGTAATACTTGCATACATCAGTGTTCAAAACAAAGTCTACTTACATATTATATGACTTACAAATGTAATTTTTAAATTAAAAAGCATAATGGTGGGGGCTGGGGATTTAGCTCAGAGGCACAGTGCCTTCCTGGCCAGCACAAGGTCATGAGTTCGATTCCTGATACCGGAGGAGAAAACAAACAAACAAACAAAACAAACAAAAACAAAGCACAATGGTGGCTATCAAACTTCAAATTCAGGTAGCTAAATCAACTTCTTCTCAGCAAACTTTTATTTTCTATCTATTAAGAGAAAGGCACTATTATATAAGAATTCAGGAAAAATAGAAATTTGTATGAAATGCACAATTAATAGAATTAGTAGAATTTAAATAGCATTCCAACAATGAGATATTTTTGGGAGAAGAATGCAAAATCAAATCAATTAAAGAAACTAAGTTGAGAAACAGAAACAAATGGCTGACTATGTTTTCTGTTTTATTTTTTCCCCTCTGCTTACTTATGAAATTCAGCACAGAGATTGCTACTACATCTAAATATCCACAACAATATCGTTTAAAATGTTCCTGCTACTTATGGAACACCATCTTGCTACTACATATTTTTACTCAATTACTTACTTGTCAGTAAACTTGATAGGTACCATTGAGACAGCCAATGTTAGAATTATTTAGACTGTTGTGATAATAGACAACAACCAGAACTGAGCAAGCTAACTTTATGACATGGCAGATATTCAAAATTTGGCTTACATCTTTAGTCTAACTACAAGCTTACAAGGAAATTATTTTTAACTGATTATTTGGTCCAAATATAAAATGACATGAACCTTAATTCAATTTCACTATACCTATTCAAATAAATTTATTATTTACCTTCAAAATCTTTGTCTAGTTCAGGAAGTCCTTGAAGCAATTCTTGAGTACTCTTACCACGAAAAAGACCATAAGTGATGATAACACTGCCGTTGGAAAAAGAATTCATGATAGCAAGTGTACTGGTGATCCATTCTTGAGTGCCGAGAATCGAGCAAATTACGACAACAGATCCAAGACTTGTGACAAAGCTGGACAAGAACATCAATGTTTTCTGTGTTGTCGGCATTTTCTCAAGAAAATAAGTTCCTTGGGGTAAACAAAGATCTTCTTGTAATAGTTTTGGACCTTATCATTTGGAGTCCAGTATCTAGAAATGAAATCTAATACTTTTTTGTAAGATATACAACCTCACTCTTCCCAGGAAGGGTTTTGCTACTGAACCTTGAACTATGAACATGGTCATAAATCTTTACAGCGGCTGACCTTTGGTCTGGAGTAAGAGGTTGCTATGGTTGCAGCCAACCAGCATAGCCAACCAGCATAATACAGGAGGTGGGCATGGTCTTGCCAAGACTGATCACACAATTAATTTATAATCTTTTGGCATGTCATGAAGATGTCATATCATGGAAGCAAGTTCATTAACAATGCCAGGAAAGAATCATAATTCCCAAATAATCAGACAATTGAGATTTTATACCCTCAAAGTAGTATTGATTCTAGCAGTCAATATCAAAAAGCCCCAACTCCCTCAAGAAGTGCTTTACTGGTTAATGATGAGTCTCTTATCACAGTTCCCAAAGGGAAACTTAAGGAGGTTAAAGTTTTGTCAAGTAGAAAGAGAAAGGTCAACACTTCCTTTAGGTTGCACATCCTTATTTTTAAACCTTACTAGGGAGGTGTGTCTTTCAAATTTCCTCTTTCAAGTTGGATTGTATTTGCACATTATTTAAATGATAACATGAGAAGTTTCCTCTTTCTCTTTTTCTAATCCTCTAATGGAAGTAGTTCTAAACATTCTTGCTTAGGTCTTCATGCCTCAGAACCTCTCTGCTTAGTGGTTAACTGTCTGTGAAGGACCATTTCTAGTCCTCAGAGACAGTCTCACACTTGACTAACACATCATTTATGGAGACTATGAATAGACACAACATTTCGCATTTTTCTTTTTATTGTATCCCTTTATTATAAAGTAATATTTTATATGCACATCAGCATCTTGTACTTTTCTTGGATAGCACCTAGCTTATTTGTGGGGTGAGCTGATTGTTTGTATTTCCCAGTAGGGTAGACAACGGGTTCCAAGAGGCAAACATATTAGTTTCAGGAACTCCTGAATCTGTGTCTACTAAAAAGCCTAGCACAGAGTAAAAACTTGGCAAATATTTGTTGAATGTATTATTGGAGATATGTACAAATATATTCCATTATTGAGGACAGTTGTTTTTCTTTTTTTCCAAAGAAAATGATTTTATTGGTACATTTTAGAGAGACATAATGATCACATTCATCACAGGAAATTTATACCTCTACATGATATAACTTGATTCTTTTTTTCCCATTCCCCTACCCTCCCTTCAATCTCTCTTCTCCTCCTCTTTTACAAAAGCTTTGTTTCCATTTTTTCCTTCTTTTCTCATTTTTTAACTTTTCCTTTCCTTCCTTTTTGCCTTCTCCCCCTCCCTTGTTCCCTATCCCATTTGAACATTTTCTTTCTATTTCACAATATCTATTATAAATGTTGATCCTTATTTACATTTTTGGTTTCTCACACCAGACAAAGCATGCAATATTTACATATGTGTGTCAAATTCATTTCGCTTAAGAGTATGGTCTCAAGGTGCATCCGTTTACCTAGAAATGTCTCAAGCCTATCCTTCTTTACGGCAGAGTAGTACTGCACTGTAAAAAAACAAAAACAAAAACAAAAAACAACAAAATAAACTACATCTTCTGTGGAGACCACCTGAATGACTGTCCTTGAAAGAAGAGCAATTGTCTCCATTTTGGCTAAACCTATCCCTATTTCCATGTAATGATAAGGACAGAAGGGGCTAGGACTTTTCCTTATCCCTTTAATTGGCCTTAAGCAATGCAAATCAGTTCAGCTGAGGTTCTGATGTGAAGTCTTTGAAGCAATATGATAGGTGAGTGTTACCCTGCACCCACAGGTACCAAAAAAATGTGTGAGCCAGGCAGGATGGAGAGCCACACTGCACACTGTGGACTGGAACTGAGCCTCGAGGTGAGAGGCTATGACTTCCCAGAGCATAAGAAATTACACATCGGAGCTGAAGCACTGACTCTAAAACATTAGATACCTCAAATTGTGTTATGCAGATGACTCCTTCTGCATATTCTTCTCTCTGCATATTGCAGGAGTGACTTCAGACCACTTACCTAACCCAGCTCACTCATGTATTTCGCACCACTCTCACAGTCACTCATCATCAAGCCACTTCCTTCTTAATGAATTAATAACACTTGGGTTTGGCCCTGGATCAAGGCTTTTGTTCCACTTAGCCATCAGTAGCTGAATTTAGGATCTCCTTGGCTCTCCACAACTATAAACATGCCTTGGTATCTTTATTCTCACCAGGGAAGTGATAGATTGGAATTAACTTGTTAGAATTCCAATTATTTTTCCATTGGATTACAAATATAAACTCTTGGGCCATGATGAGGACTGGGGTGATCTCTCTATAATCTTCTTTATCCATTCATCAGATGATGGGCATTTAAGGTATTTCCAAGATTTGACTATTACAAACTGTGCTGCTATAAACATGTGTGTGCATATATCACCGTGGTATGGTGCTTTTAATTCTTTCAGGAAGACACCAGGAAGGGGAATAGCTGGGTCAAATGAGACCTCTAGTCCTGGTTTTTTGAGGAATCTCCACACTGATTTCCACAGTGGTTGCACCAGTCTACACCCCCACCAACAATGGATAAGTGTTCCTTTTCCCCCGATAATAGCCATTCTTTCTAGGGTGAGGTGTCATCTCAGAGTTGTTTTAATTTGTATTTTACAAGTACGAAAAGATGTTACACATTTTTTCATGTATTTATTTACCATTTCTATTTCATCATCTGAGAAGTGTCTATTCATTTCAGATGCCCATTTTTTGATTGGGTCTTTAAAGTTGAGGGGTCTGATTTTTTTGAGTTTTTTATATATTCTAAATAGTATTCTTTTGTCTGAGGAACAGCTGGCGAACATTTTTCCCACTGTGGGTTGTCTCTTTACTCTGTTGGTAGTTTCTCTTGCTGTGCGAAAGTTTTTAATAAGATGAGATCCCAGCTGTTGATTCTCTGTGATAGTTCCTCTGTGATCAGGATTTTACTACTAAAGTCTTTGCCTACACCAATGTCTTTGAGCATTCTACCTATACTACATTCCAACAGATTTAATGTTTCTAGTTTTGATATTTTAGGTCTTTGATCCATTTCAATTTTGATTTAGTAAATGGTGAACGATATAGGTCTAATTTCAATCTTAAGCATGTGGAAAGCCAGTTTTCTCAGGACCATTTATTAAAGAGTTTATCTTTCTTCCAGTGAATGTGTTTGACAACTTTGTCAAAGATAAGGTGGCTAAGTATGTCTGGAGTTGTATTTGCATCTTCTAATCTGTTCCATTGATCCTCAAGTCTATTTTTTTTTTTTTTAATCACAGTGGCTTTGTAGTATAATTTCAAGTCAGGGATTGTGATGCCTCCTGCCTTGCATTTGTTGCTCAGAATTGCCTTTGTTATGCTAGGTCTCTTCTGGTTCCAAATGAATTTTAGGATTGTTTTCTCTAATTCTGTAAGATATGTTGTTGGAATTATGATCAGGAGTACATTAAATCTGTATAACAAATTTTAAAGTATGGTCATTTTCACTATATTGATTCTTCCCACCCAAGAATAAGGGATTTATTGCCCTTTTCTGATATCCTCTTCAGTCTAATTTTTCAGAGTACTTTAGCTTTCAATGTAGAGGTCTTTTACTTCCTTCGCTAGATTAACTCCTAAATATTTCATGTTTTTTAATGCTACTGTGAAAGGTGTTATTTCCTTAATTTCTCTCTCAGTGAGTTTGTTATTCATGTACAAGAAGGTTTGATTTTTGAGTGTTGATTTTTGTGTTCAGCTATTCTACTGAATCTGGTTGTTAATTGTAGAAGTTTTTGATGGAGTTTCAGGATCTTCTATCTATCATGTCATTTTCAAATAATGATAATTTCACTTTTTCCTTTCCTATCCTCATTCTTTTTATTTCCTTTTCTTGTCTAATTGCTCTTGTCTAATGTTTTTAGACCTACATTAAAAAAAGTGGTTACAGTGGAATCTTTTTCTGGTTTCTGATTTTAGAGTGAAAGGTTTCAGTTATTGTCCATTTCATATGATGTTGGCTGTTGATTTTTCATAGATGGCTTTTAATAGAACTAAAGACCATCTATTCTAATTTCCTATGCTTGATCTTAGCCAAGAGGCTGAGAAGCAATTAATTTAATTTTCTGTAAGGTTTTTTATCATGAGTGGGTGCTGGACTTTGTCAAAAGCCTTTTCTGCATCTATTGAGATGATCATATGGTTTTTGTCTTTGGCACTATTAATATGGCATATTACATATATTGATTTGCATATGTTGAACTGTCCCTACATCTCTGCGATTAATCCTACTTGGTCATGATGTATAATTTTCTTGATGTTTTATGGCATTCTGTTTGCCATTATCTTATTGAGGATTTTTGCATCAATGTTCATTAGTAAGATGAGCCTGTAGTTCTCTTTCTTAGTTGGAACCTCTGAACTTGGCATCAGGGTAATTTTTACTTCCAGGAATGAATTTAGAAGTATTGCTTCCCCTTCAATTTCATTAAAGAGTTTGAGAAGTAGCAGTATTAGATCTTGTCTACATTTCTTAAAACATTCAGCAGTGAATCCATCAGGGCCTGGGCTTTTATTTGTTGATATATTTTTAATTACATATTCAATGTCATTGACTAACACTGATTTATTTAGACTTTTTATATCGTCTTGATTCGGCTTTGGTAGTTCATATGTATGCAGGGATCTGTCCATTTCTTCTGCATTTTCCATCATATGAGAATATAATTTCTTAGGTATATATGATCTTTTGGTTTTCCATTGTGATTGCAAACTTTTCATTCCTATTTGCATGAATTACAGTCTTTTCCTTCCCTTTTATGATAAGGGTGGCTAAGGGTTTGTCAATTTTGTTTCTTTGAAAGATCCAATTTTTTAATTCATTGATTCTTTGTATTGTTTTCTTAGTCTCCATTGCATTACTTTCTGCTCTGATCTTTATAATTTCCTCCCTCATATGAGCTTTGGGCTTTACTTGCTCTTCTTATTCTAGTAGCTTGAGGTCCAACATTAAGTTGTTTATTTGAGTTTGCTCTGTTTACCTAATATA